TTCTTTCTTTCTTTCTTTCTTCTTTCTTTCTTTCTTTCTTTCTTTCTTTCTTTCTTTCTTTCTTTCTTTCTTTCTTTCTTTGTTCTATCTTCCTTTGTTCTCCTTCCTTCCTTCCTTCCTTCCTTCCTCCCTCCCTCCCTTTCTTCCTTCCTTTCCTTTCTCTGTTTTTTCTGTCTTTTTCTTTCTATCTCTTTTTAAATATTTAATTCTACCGTCTTGGATATGTCCACATGCACATATTTATCAAATATTTACTGACTTAGCAGACTTCTGAAACATCCTAGAAAATATCAGAAATTCAGAGTTAAATACAATTTAATGACAATTTAACAAGGACCTGAGATTTAAAAAATAATAATGATTTCTAAATTTCATAGATTTACTGAATGACAAAGTCTGGATGATATCTTGTAAATGGCATGTTGAGTTGTGTATTTTTGGTAAAGTACATTAAATTTAGTTTTTTATTCTAAAACTAGAATAAAATTAAATTAAATTCGAGATCTAACCCTTGATCTTACTACAAGAATTTGGTACTCTAACTTTGCATAATTCTATATTACCTGCAAATTAATACAATACCTATTTTCATCAGTACATCACTCGTACAAAAACAATGAACTATGAAAATATCTTTGCACAAAAAGTTACCCGATTTTTCCCCGTCCTGAAAAATTTGCCCAGCAATCACTTAACACCAACTCAGTGCATGCTGGCATTATGGATTTGGGTTTTTCCTGCCATTCGTAGTCTGGTTTTTAAGAACTTACTGCTTTTCATGTGTCTCATGAAGTTCATTGTTGCATTCCTGCTTAGCCTCTGTACATGCAGCCAAGAATACAACTTAAAGGGAGTAGATAAGCCCTTAATAATTTAATAAATGCTAAAAAGTACTTGGAAGTTCACTTTTATAGCAAACTATAAAAGGCAATGGAATATGGAAAACAACACACACAACAAAATAAAGAAAACCTTTTTAATTTTTTTCAAAAACTGAAATCTATAGATGTTTCATTTTGTTGAATTCTGTTTCTTTCTCTCTCTCTCTCTCTTTTTTTTTGTACCAGGAATCAATCTCAGTACCTCACACTTGCCAGGCAGGCATTTATGCCACTGAGCTACATCCCCGGCCCTGAATTCTGTTTCTCTGTCTCTCTGTGTCTATCTCTCTTTCTCTCTGTCTCTCTGTCTCTCTGTTTCTCTCTCTGTCTCTCTCTCTCTCTCTCTCTCTCTCTCTCTCACACACACACACACACATACACACACGTATATATATATATGTTTTATTCACATGGACAATATTAAAGCATCCAACAAGACATAGAGCTTTGATTTGATTATCTCATTAGACAAAACCTTTGATTAGTAACTTTCTATTTGTTGCTCATAATTTGCCTTCTGAGTCTAAGCAGCTACCAAAAATGAATATTTTGCTCAAGAGAGAAAAAATTAGGTCATTTGTCTAAAACATGCTATAGAATATTTTTTAAAAGTAATTAATAAAACTAAACACAGTCTACAAATTGTAGAATTTATTAAACTGAGGAAGATAGTGTATATGTTTACATTTGAAAAATGTTTTACATTTCAAAATGTCAGTGTAGAAATGGTGGTCAATTTAGAAAATAACCAAAGCAAGCTCAGTGCTTGGCAGGGAACAGTTTTGCTTTCAACTAAAATTAAATGCTTACAGTAGAATCTTAAGAGCCTGAAGATTGTGAGTATCTCTTTTTATCTGTGGCTATTTTTCTGTGACTGTGACTCTCCAAGGATGAAAGCATTTCTGCAAGGCCCTGTGACCTGAGGGTGTCCTTTATACACTGCCTTAGAAAAAGAATCATAAGGCAATTTCAAGTCCTTAGACACAAACACTTGTCAAACTCAAAATGTCCTGATGCTAGTAATCCAGCAGAGTGTGAAAAGGGATGTTAAATGAGGGATGCTGGAGGAGCCATGTAGCTAACCTGAGGAGAAATAACAGAGGACGGAGACCCAGCAGGTGAACTCACCGGGGCAAGTTGGGTCTGACCTCTAGAACCAGAGACCTATATCAAACACACAAGAAATAATAGGCTTCTGGTAAGGGAGGCTGCATTAGAAAAAGCATATTGACTCACATATGGAATGAAGACATAGACCAACATTTCAGCCATTTGACACAATAAATATTTCTGACTTAAAAGATATAGGTGTATCTCCTGTTTTTGTTTTTGACTGCTTCTAACTTATTTGCCTGGTGGTGTTAATGAGTCAATACTCAGACCATTACAATCACATCTGGTATATGTGTGGCAAAATAAAAAATCCAAATATTTTGTTTTAATAATATTAGTATTTATAAGCATTTTAGTGTTTATTCTAAGAATTTGATAGAACCTCACCACTGGGTATAACTTAATAATTACAAGGAGAGAACTAATTGTCCTGACTATAAAAGAGTGTGGGAGAGAGATTGGTCAGGGAATGAAAAATAAATTGAAAATTCTGGAGGTCAGAAAGATCATGCCACTAAAGAAGAAGGAAATAATTGAAAAAAAAGAAAGAATAAGAAGAAGCTTTACAAACAGTAAAAGGAAAGAATGATGCCAGCAGCAAACCAATCTCAAAAATGGATACAAGAAAGGAGTTACATATTATCTATCATTATTTCCTTCTGATTGCTAATGAAAACATGTCAGTGTTGTGCTAGTAACATAGATTCCTATCTTTCTACAGATAATGTCTTCTTTGTCTATGTCTTTTCTTCCTCCTTTTTGCTTTAAAATTTTAGCATTATAGGCAGCAAGTAGATCACGTTGACTAATACTAAGACATATAATCGTCTAAAATATTTCATTTCTGATACAAAATATATTATTCTTATTTATGATGAATTAGTCAACAGTACCAATACATTTTAGTATTTTTTATGGCATGGTATAATTACATTTTGTTTTGTGTCATATAACACACTTTCTTATAGTTTTAAATTAAAACTCAAGGAAAGTTTTTTCTTCGAAGCATACCCACACAATTTAACCTTCTCCAGGTGATTAACAGTGAATCAGGATCTTACAATTTGTCGTGTTTTGATGTTCATTAAAAATAGTGATTTCTACTCAGTGTCTGCATATGTCATGTTGTATCCCGATGAAGAATTTGGAAGGTCCTGCTTTCTCAACATCACAATTAGCCAGATAATTTTAAATAATCATCACTGACATAAAAGACACATGAAAACAATCAAATACCTCTCACTTGCAGCTTTTTTATTCACACATAACAGTCTTACCTTGCCCACATACTGCGTGTCTGCACCTGTGTACTCTTCCAGTAGGAAGAACTGATTCCACATCCAGCCCCGCTTGGTGCGACGCAGCATCTTACCATCACTTTTGGTCAGGCTCACGACTGTTTTGCTTGTTAAATGACTGTTAGATTTTTCTTGAAATGGAGTGGTGTCCACTATATGGAATATGTAGGTCCAGATAAATAATGATATGCAATGATAAGTCCTCATTATCTGTGGCTTCAGAGGAATGTCAAGTCCAGTGTATTGTTTGTCTCTCCTAAAAGGAAGAGAAATAGGGTTTTATTAAGCTGTGCTACACCTTCATATAACCTGTAAACAGAAAACTTATTTGGAATCTTAAATTGTACATCCATGTATAATGTAAATATTACTTTTCTGTATTGCATCAGTGAACTATCATTAAAAACTCATATATCACATAAATAATGAGGATTTACACACATACAAGTGTATGTGTGATTAGAGAAACCTAAATAGATATTTTACAACTTACTTTAAGATCAGTACATAATAGTCATGTAAATGTGAACACATTTCTAACATTAATTTTGGAAAAAATTAAGCTTTAAAATCCATAAAGTATAATAAAGTGCTTTAAAGCCCATAACACTAATAAATGCAGAATACTTATTAATATATTCATATATGAATGAACAAATAGATTTCAAGAACCCTGTGTTATTCCCATCATCACTTCTGAAAGCGATACATATATGTTTAATATATATGTATGAATACATGTTTAAAACCCTATTTTTTGAAAAGAAAATGTTTACAATCAATACATCCATTATAATAAAGTATTTTAAACCAAATAAATAAAACAAATAAATACAGAACATTTATTAGTATATACATGTACAAATGAACCCAGACATTTTAAGCAGACTGTGTTATTCTCACTATCACTATTTTTTTTTGATACTAGGAATCGAACTTGGGACCTCATGCTTGTCAGGCAGGTGCTTCTGCCACTGGGCTATATCCCCAGCCCTCACTATCACTTTGGAAAGTGCATCCCCTAGATTCTCAAAGCACAACAAACTAAAGCACAAACAGGCAAGTAGGATTAAGCTATAAGCTTATTTTATACAAATCAGAGGAAAGAATCAACAGAATAAAGAGAAAAACTATAGAGTGGGCAAAAGTATTTGCAATCTGTACACAAAAAAGGGGGTTCATATAAGGAACTCCAAACCTCACTAGCAAAATGAAAATAATAATAAATTGATTTTGCAAAGCGCAATAGACCTATATATGACCTTTTTTCAAAAGAAGATATACAAATGACCCATAGTTGTAATAAAAAATACTAAATATTACTAATCTTCAAAGGAATGTCAATCAGAAAGTATCATCTCACTCCAGTGAGAATGACTATTATTAAAAATTCAAAGATAACAAATGGTGAGGACATGGAGGAAAAGGAACGCTTGCCAAGTGTTGATGGAAATAAAAGTGGTGCAACAATGTGAAAAAAATTATGTAATTTCCTAAAGCTAAAAATCGGACTACTAGACGGTGCTGCAATCCCTGTCTGGGTGTCTATTCCAACAAATTTAGCCAGCATGTGAAAGAGACACCTACAGCCCTCTACTCATGCTAGCCCAGAAACAAATAACCTAAGTTTCCATGAACTGATGAAGGGAGAAAGAAAATGAGATATATCTACACAGTGGAGAATAACCAAGAACTAAAAGGAGTGAAATCCTATCTTTTGTAACAGCAAGGCTGGAACTGAGAAATATCATTTGAAGTGAAATAATCTGGTCATGGAAAGAGAGATATTACATGACCTCATTCATAAACAAAAATCTAATAAAAAATTGAACTTATCATAATTAAGAATAGTATGGTTCTTACTCAAGGTGGGGGAGAGTAGACCCAGCAAAGAGTTGGAGAAGATTTGATCAGTGGTATTAAGTTGCAATTAATTACGAGCCAGAAGTTTTGGTCTGTTACCTCACACTACAGTGACTAGATAACACTAGGATAATACACACTTTCCAAAGCCAGAATTGATAAGAATTTGAGAAGACAGATGAATGAATGATTTAAATATTATACAATGAAAACTTGTTTCCAAACATTATAGGAACACATTAATGTGTATATTATTCATATATTTATGTTTCAATTAAAAATAATTTTTAAAAAACAATCTAGAATTAGGGGCTTGTATACAACAGTCATTTACATCCTCCCTTTATGTTCTCTTTATCAGTCTCTTTCTGTCTTTCTCTTTCTTCCTACTTATATTTTAGTTTCTTTTTCACAGTTTGACTAAGTCTCATCAACCTGATGGAATATGGGTGATATTATCTATTGAGCTCACAATTAACATCTAAAAGCAAAGAATGCTCTCTTCTAATTTTAATTTAGAAATCATGAGAATGGAGTTTGATTTATCTGCCTTAGACTAAAAACTTCATGCTGGACCAAGCAGGTATGAAGTCCAAAGCACAAAGATCAGTCACAAGGGTCCGACTTGCTTCCCTCATTTACAGAGGGTGAGATATCCGAAGCACTTGATCTGGTCACTTCTTCTAACTACTCCATTTATAAAAGGAGAATAATTAGCATCTGAGTCACAAGTATATAT